ACACAGGCTGATGAAACTTGCAAAAATGGCTTGATATAATGATCAATGTCCACTTCAACCGATGCTATCAACACCCGCAAAAGTGATATCCGGACCAAACGTGCGCTTCTGTAGCCTTTCAACCACGGCTTTGTGACACAACAGACTGAGCAGCAATACGTCAGGCTGGGTTTCTGTGCCGCCGCAAATTGTGCCGCAGCAAATTGTGCCGCAGCAACTGAGACTCTCCAACGGGACAACAGCTTCTCCAGTGTGCATGTCCCCCTCCATGACTTCCGAGATCCGACCACGAGATCACACAACGGCAGAAACCTGCATATCTCATCATGGCTGATCGGGCAAAAAGCAAGCAGAAAAGCCCTGCTGGAGCCTCCATTGCGGAGCCCGCTGTGCCGAGTTGCATGGGCTCGGGTCATTACTAGGTACTGGCAGCTCACTGACGACTGAAGGGTCGCTCTCTGAGCCTGCATCAGGCCGCTCCCAGCTTCAGAGAAGTGCGGGGCAGACCTTGGGGAAGCCTGGTAGGGTCGCGGGCACTTTCAAGATGTCCTCGTTGCGTTCGGACCCGAGAGCGGACATGATCCTGGTGTTATACTGGGATACAGTCTACAGTACGACAATGCAGGCGTATGTGCCGTGCGACCAAATGTGACACTGACGACCAAAACCTTGCGCCTATCAGGTCTGCTGTGCGAGTCGACAAAGTTGTGCAACCTGAGCAGCTCTTGTCATGACTTGAGGAAAGCGGATATCTCACGAGTCCCAGTTCACAGGACAACAACCACTCAAGTCTATGCGCTCATGTCCGACGGGTCGACGCGACGTTCAACTTGGCAATAAGTACCATCAACTCGCCAAAGACATTCTCGATTCTACTCCATCTCCTCCACAGCAAGCAAAAGCAGCCACTCGTCCCAGCCGCAATAAGCATTGCACTGTCAATTTAAGCTTTCTCTTTCTTTATACACTTCCCTTCGGAGGCCCGGAACACCAGCAGCGTGGCACCCAGGCCATCACGGGAAGTGCGGCGCGCCATAGCAAGTGGGGAGCCGATCTGGACAATGACATCAAGGAAGAAAACGATGAAGCATCCGTCCATCGTGCTGCAGCAGTAGTGCGTTGGCCGCATGCACAAATCTGCCGTCATACTTGATTGTCTGCTTGTCAAGCTTTTTTCCCGAACTACGAGGATGGCTCACTGCAACCTTGGTCTTGCGCTGGCCTACCGCATGCTGCTTTGATTTGGGAAGGTCATGCAAGTTTACTAGTATGCGGAGAACCCATTACATGCGCGTCTCCTGTGATGCAAGGTGCATCTTCTCCAATGTGCACATGGAGGGATCGCATGGCCCAGTCCTCATCCTCGTCCTCCTCCTCCTGTGAATTGGGGACTAGGGATCCGGACCACATATAAATATGCTCGACAGCGTTTGGAGACTCGAGGCCGTAGGGCCGCCCTCGATTGCTACCGGCACGCTGCTCCTCGACATTTCTTTGTTCCACATTGTTGGCGTCACCGGCACGCTGCCCATTGTACAACCCTCGAGGTGGTTGTTGTATGCTATATAAAGAGGCTGCTCTGGTGAATCGAGTGTCTATGTTGACGACTTGACAGAAGGTTGTGTATACCAGAACAACATCACCATCATGTGGACTCCTCGTCTCGTCTCCGCGGCTACCGCGGGGATTCTCCTCCTCACAGGTCCAATCGCAACAGCCACTACAGCCGACGCCAACAGCACCGTCCCTATAATCGACCTGGGCTACGTCAAATACGCCGGCTACACCAACACCACCGCCGGAATCAACTACTACCGCGGCATCCCCTACGCCCAGCCCCCCACGGGCGAGAACCGCTGGCAAAAGCCGATTCCCATTGAGAATTCCACAGCCTACACCGGCCAAACGATCCAAGCCACGACACAGGCGCCCGCATGTATCCAAGGGTACCCCTCGTGGCAGTATGCCAGCGACGTGCAACCAGGCTCCTTTGCGTACACGCCCCAAGGCCAATCTGAAGACTGCCTCATTGTCGACGTGCTGGTCCCCTCGGACCCTCAGAACATCACCGGCGGCCTGTCTGTTGTGGTGCAGATCCACGGCGGCGGGTACACCACCGGCAGCGCGTTGAGCTACCCTGGGGACTCGCTCGTGCACGCCTCGTCGGGCGGTATCATCTACGTTGCCATGCAGTACCGTCTCGGCGTGTACGGCTTCCTTGCGGGTGCCGAAGTCGCCGAGAATGGCGTGCAGAACGCGGGGCTCTACGACCAGCGCCTTGCCCTCGACTGGGTCCAGCGCCACGTCGCCGCCTTTGGAGGCGATCCAGCCAAGGTGACCATCTGGGGCGGTTCTGCGGGCGGCGGATCCGTCACGTACCAGCTCATGGCCGGCGGCGGTGCTGGGACGCCGCCTTTCCGCGCCGCGATCCCAGAGTATCCCTGGTGGCAGCCGCTGCTCAACAAGAGCACGCAGGAGCTGCAGTACCGGCTTGCGCTGGACGCGGCTGGGTGTGCGGATATTGCGTGTCTTCGGGGACTAAGCGCCGCGGCACTGACAGAGGCGGGCCAGGCGGATTTCAACCAGTCGTACCCGGGTCCGGGAGATGGCTACGGCACGTTTTGGTTTGGCCCTGTGGTGGATGGGGAGTTTCTGCTCGATTTGCCGGATATCGCGTTCAAGAAGGGCGCGTTTTTCAAGGTGCCTATTTTGACGGACCGGGAGGGCTACGAGGGCGTTTCGTTTTCGAACTCGAGCGTGACAAATCAGGTCGAGGAGACGGCTGATGTGAGTTTCTTCTTGGGGGGGACGAGAATGATGTGAATGTGATGATGACAAGTGACTGACATGCAAAAGCAGGCTGAGGATCTCTTCCCCAGCGCTGGGCCGGGCTTCTTCTCGCGGCTCTACGAGCTGTATCCAGCCTCGGATTATAACTCGACGTACTACCAGCGCGCGAGCTGGTACGGCGACTTTATCATATCCTGTGAGTTGTCTCATGTCGTCTGTTGTCCAACACGCCCACCACCTACACCCACACTCATACTCACACTCACACTCACAACCACCTCCCATGCAGGCCCAACGTACCAAATCGCCTCGTCGGCCGTCGACGAGATCGGCAACTCGTCGGCCGTGTTCAAGCTCATCTTCGACGCCGGCTCGCAGCGCCACGGCGCCACGACCGACTTCCTTGCCAACAAGTACATCAACTGGATCGGCGCCAACAACCAGACGCTCGCGGCCATCCTGTCGAGCTACTGGGTTTCATTCATCACGACGCTGGACCCGAATCCGCTGCGGCTCGCCGACGCGCCGTTCTGGCCGAGCTATGTGAGCGGTGGCGCAGGCACGCGAGCAAACGGCGAAGGGGTTGGGTTCTCGGTGCTGGACATCACGTATGGCGGGATCAATGGCAGCGGCGTGGCGGATCCGGATGCGAGGGTGCAGTGTGAGTTTTTTGGGAACAGGGGGTATACGGTGAGGAATTAGGTGGTGGTGGAGTCTGTTGATTCTCGATTTGCGTGTGAAGCCATGTCAATATACATATTTACAACATTCTGCTAGTAACATGTCACATAAAAAAAAATCTCGTAGCAAGAGACGTGAGACAAACACATGCGCTGCGCAACTTACTGATAAGTACATGGGAACGCCGAAAGTTCCATCTGGTGCGTCCAACACACCACCAAAAGGGCACAGCAACATCGCGGGCTACATTGATGCAATGCCCAACTCATCATACGCAGCCAGGATGGCATGAATGTTGACATGAATGCCAAGTGTCAAGGTGACAACGAGGTATCACATTTGCATAATTCGTATATTTGCAAAGGGCCGAGTGTTACAACAATGCCATGTATATATGGAAACTGAACGCAAGGCATCGGCATTACTACATTGAAGTGAAGACAGACTGTTGAGTAATATACAAGGAAGTATAATCATGCAATTCCATAAGTTGATAGTAGAAGAAAATGCAAACATCTGGTTTGTACATCAGAGTCATTAGTTTCAGATACATGTCAAAATCTTGATTTTGACACGCAAGTCTCAACATAACAATCAGACATCTGATTTCTTTATATGATGTTTGAAAAGGAAATAATAATTAAAATTCGAAAAGGCAATTTTTCAACATGCATATCGATTTCCAAGGTGCAATAATCCTCAGGCTGTTGTATTGAGACTTTAGCACTTGTCACCAACTTTCTTATTGTATATGCTCTAAAGTCCTCAGCTAGCCGTTCGTGTAGTTGCAAAATGTTTTTACTTTGAGTTATTAAAAATCAATAATTTTTGTACCAGGTTAAGGAAAAATACATGCTATAAATTTACAGCAACATATTATCCCAACACGAACATCAATTTATCCATCGGCACTTTAGCAAATTCTTATTCTTGGTTGCCAGCGTAGCATTAAGAGGTTTAAGATACCCAAGTAGTCCCGATCGGATCCAAATCTTGAAATACATACACTATTGAGGTTATTGGTTTTATGTGTTGCAAAGAAAGACAATACACGGTACACTTGTTACAACAAGAAAGTTCTTAATGCAGCAACAGTTTTGTATAGCAGAACAACATCAGATCAAGCCAAATAGTTCTCAATTGTGCTAGTCTAGTCCTTAGATATTATTCTGAATATCCAATCTTTGCGCTGAATGATGTAGCAACAAGACATTGACGCGTTCGTCTCCATTGGCCACTCACTATAACTCACAAAAGACTACTTCGATATACGCTTCACTCATTCAAGTACTTTGACGTACATCTAATATTTCCCTATTTCGACGGCCACCTGCTTCGACATATTCATCGACATACACTTCAATTTTGTATACGCTTCACTCTGATGTACACTTCACCTCACCTCACCTCGACAGGTGCACACATCCGTTTCACCCACATCAGCACAGCAAAAACACCTATGCCGACTGACCTCCAGAAAGTCAATCCTTCCGACTTCCCGTCCACAAAAAGTCAAATCGCCAAAAGAATGATCTGGCCCGGGTTCGAACCGGAGACCTTCAGTGCTCGCAAATCATCCAATCTCTTTGTTTGGAGATATGTATGAAATTGTTAGACTGACGTGATAACCAACTACACCACCTGACCATTTGGGTTATTGTTGAGATGTGCTTCAGGAAAGGCCAATTATGTAGCTTGTTTCTGCGCGTCTTGGGACTTTTTGCTGAGCCTGTGGGTGGAGGTTTGGGTGATGGGTGGTGGGTGCTCGCGGTGGGGTCACTTTTCCCCGGTGGTGGACATGGGGGTTTGTGCTGCGGAGAACGCCGTCCACGGATTATGTAAAACGGCCGCCCTGCAAAACCCGCTAGCGTTGAAGTGCACAGCGTCCAGCGTCCACAGCGCTTGGGCAATAATTAGAAGCGGGGTCCGACTGACTTGGAAAGATGTATCTTTTTTTTTTGTTTTCGTTTTCAATACAAATATTTCTAAACAGCAGCAGACTCCGGCTTATCCTATGTATTGAACCAAGACAAAGCTACATACACTTTGTATTTCGTTTGCAAAGGACGCTGCAATTCGCCGTTTGGACATTTTTTCTTCTTCTTTTCTGTTCTTTTTCCTTTGGGCAAGCAGAAGCAAACAAATAACAAATAGAAAAGCCCAGACGCAAACGCGCGAACAGCAGGCTCAAGCACAAGTAGACATACAAAACAACACCAAGCCCCGGCCAGAGCCTGGCTTGACGACGGATCCGTAGACAATATATCAGCCTGATTACTACACTATTGCTACTAGTGATCACATGCACGTGCAAACGTGTTTTCTGTGCAATCTCCTCCAAGGACGTTGTACAACACCCATCCAGCTCGCAAAGCAAAGCAAAGCATAGCATAGCAAATCAACAATGGCCGACCGAGAATCTGTCATAGTACGCCCAGATTTCCCAATAGACAACAAGTTGTGGTTGCTGTTTGCCAGCGACCGACTGCCAACCACCGTCTATTGATGTGAGAACATCGGCACCCTGACTCGATCCAAGCCAATCTTGCAAGAAAACGGACGACACTCACCCGCTCCATAGCCCAGGACAAAAACAAGACAAAAAAGAAACGTAAAGCTTTCCCATCTCCTCGGTGCTTCTCCGAGAGACAAAATGGTCGATCAACCGGCCGAATCAGCCAACCAGACATACAAACAAGCCCGGTCGGTGACTGCACAAGTTACTGGAGTCGCAATGATAATCAGAATCAGCGTGTTTGAGTCAAGCTGAGGACTGGAGCGGTCCACAAGAGGGGAGAAAAAAGAAATCTCTGCATATCCGTGGACTCCATTCCCAAGTTCTGGCCGCGCAGAGTTTTTCGCAGCCTTGCCAGCCAGGGGTTCCCTGTCTGTCTGGCCCCCCTGTCACACGGGCACACACGCGGCACAAACAGCCATCACGCTGTGGCCATCCCAAAGAGGAAGACCGCCTAGCACCACGCGGCCTGGTCCGAGCGTCGCCAGAAAACTATATAAACCTCGCTGCCCTCCGTCCCTTTTGGCTGTTTTCTTTTTTCTCTTCTGTATGTCGACAATACTTCACAGAATCCGTTCTTTAGTATTCGACCTCTTCTATGTTACCCAACATAGCTACAGACCTTACTCTGGACGATGACCAAATATCCTCGACGCCCTAGGGTGAAACACCGTCTTTGACTCTCGACCTGCCTGCAAAGGTGGCGGTTCGTTGTCTTCTCTCGAAGACGCGGGCTGTATAGAGAGTGGTGATGATCTCTACCCCGATTTTCTCAAGGTCTTGCCTTCGGGCGCTTGGGCGGGGTGGGTGTCGATGGAATTCTGACAGACCTTTCTTCTTTTTTTCATTGCTTTCTCGGGCTTGTCTCGGGTTGCGAAGAAAATCTTTGGTTGTGCTGCACGAGCGCGCAACCCTGGCCATTTTCAAATTGGAAGTTATGACGTTCACTTGAGTCGAAAGGATCGCATTTGACAAAGCGTCAGTTGTAGTTAGATTCATTCGTACCTCGTCGACGCGCCAATTCCATCAGATCCAGCTGTTCGGGCACACTACAATATATACAGCAAAATACACAGCGCCTACCAGGTCACATCCCCATGTTCAATCAGGTCGGCGACCCCCTGTGGAACCAACTGCTCCAGCTTCTTCCAGTCTCTCGTCTTGACAGCCTCCCTCGCTTCTGTACTGCTGAGCACCAGGCCATCTTCACTGACAAGGCCCTCGACCACTTCAACGCGCTTCGCCCACTCCTTGCGCCCACCAATGCTTTCGAGCTCGTCGCCGCGCAGCAACCCGTCGACATATGCCATCTGCGCCTCACGGTCGCCCCAGTCGGCATCTGTTCGCATCGTGATGCGCAGATGCGCCCGTGCAAAGAAGGGGTCGAGCGCGGCTTGCATGGGTGTTTGAGTCGTCCTTTTTGTTGTTGTCGCGTCCTGCTCGGAAGCAGCTGGCTTGTAGTACTTTGGATTGAAGATGCGGATGAGCGTGTCGTAGCCTGCGAGGACAACCTGCTCTGTGACGGGGGTCTGCTCTGCTGGGTCCGAGGTCGCTTGCGCAGGCGAGAAGTCGTAGTCGGGCGATGCCGCGATTGCGTCAGACTTGTCGTTGAAGTATGGCCATGTCGTGAGGCCAATGTCGATGGGAACGTCGTGCTTGTCTTGCTGCTGTGTTTGTGGCTGCGACTGTGATTGCGCGTCCTGCCATGCTCGTTGAATATCACCTGCGAACGCCTGCATCATCAGCAGCCTCTCTTCAAAGGACGCTGGCTTGGCCTCCTTGTCGGCGTTGTTGACCGCCAAGAGCAGCAACAGACGTATATCAGAAGCAGCAGTGGTGCTGTCCAGCCCGCCCTTGAGCTTTGCGGCGATGCCTCGCTGGGTCTGGAGATCGCGCAGAGCCGACGTGGCCATCTGCATGTGCGCCACCGTCGGCGGGTTGAAGCTCGAGTCGAGGATCACCAGTGTCTTGCATCGTCTGGCCGTGCTAGTGCTGCTGGTGGTGGCCGCTTGCTGCGCCGGCCGTAGCAGCTCAAAGGCTTTGCCTGACGCTTGAAAGGCGCGCAGGGCGTCACGAAGATGCGAGAGAGCCATGCTGCCGTTGTCGTTGTCGTTGCCGTAGTCGTTGATGGGAGAAGGCGGGGAGCATGCTGCTTCTTGTGCCCGCTCCTCGTGTGCTGTTGCGGTCATTGTGGCCAGCGGGCTCAGTCAAGGGATGCCGACGAATCGTACGACGGTGTATTGTGTGTGGTTTTTTGAGTTACGGCTGATTTCTTGATTCCAAGTGGTATTGGCAGTCCATGTCGAGACAAGGCCAACTTGCAAGTTCATTAGTCACGTCTACGGATCACAGATGCGTGGTTGCGCCCGTTTCGGAAGGCGCTCCACTGTTGTACCAACGGACGCATCAATGTCGATGACCTCAAAGCACGATATGCTCGCAATAGAATTGTATCTGAACCAGAGTCAATTCCGCCATCCCTCTCCCAACAAAGTCAATTTGCAAAGACCTTGATTGTCAACCTGGCTGGAGACAGACCAGCCTGAAAAGACAAAGTCTCAAGCTCAACAGCAGTGGCAGCTACATACGTGTAGTCATCTCCCCAGCTTGCCCTCAAGCTTGAATGACCTGCACTCCAGATATCAGAAGTACAACCTGATATCAACCTCAAGATTTGGTCTCGCCTGGCTCCAAACTGTCGCTGCCCATCAACACTGATGAGTCAGCCTGTCAGCCAGCTCGCAACCCCGCCTTTTGCTTTAGGGAGGAACGACCAAGGCGGGTTAGCTGCCTTTCAAGGTGGGAGAGCATCAAGTACACCAGGCAGACGCGAGAAAGGGCAGAGCGCTCCGCACTTATGCACGCGCAACCTGCATCATCAATACGGTGTCCATCTTGGCTGCCCCTGAGCAGCCTCAAGGGTTGCACAAGGCAGCAGCGCGCTCCTCTCGAATCACATCCACGCCTTGGTGAACCCATGCTCAACTCCAATGCGTGCGATTGAACCTCAGCTTCGCCTACACCCAGCAATACTAGCCCGGCGCGGCTAACGGCACGTCGAGCTATGAGCTGCCCACAGCTGACCAGGCTACCGTGTCTGCCTTGGCTTTTCAGCACCGCGATCCTTTAGTCTTGCCAGTCTTGCCAGTCTTGCCTTCTTCCTCTCTATCACTTTGTCGTCGGCGCATCAAACGCCCTCTTGAAGAACGTCTAGTCGACGCGGGCCACCGCAGCTACGGCCACAAGAATCCCGACCATGGCTTCCAACGACGGTCGGAAGCTGCTCGTCTTTGGGCTCAGTTTTGCCCAGCATGATAGTCGCAAGATGCAACAGGTCCTCCGCCACTACGGCAGACTGCCCGACAACCCAGGCAGCCGAGCCGTGCTCTTCTTGGAGCTCAACAAGATTGGCCGTGAACTGGTGGCAGACGAGGCGTCCAGGCCGGAAGCAGCGCTAGTCACCAACTGGATGAAGGACGGTGGTGATTTTCCTCTGGGCCAAGGACCTGTCAACATCACGACGACAGCAACAGCACGGTGGGAATCGCTCGAAGCGGCTGGTGTCGGCGTTGGGTCTCATTCCACCGAGGAAGAAGCCAACGAGAAGTACCACCACGAGCGGTATGGACGAGGACGCACCCTGGACGATCCCGTTGATGCTGCTGAGAGCAACAACAATGTTGAAGCGGCAGACCAAGGACAGGCAACCAATGAGGATCGGTACGTCGATGGTGATGCCGCACATGACGACACTCAGCACGAGGATCACCGCTCGCAGGCAAACAGCGAGGAATGGGATGATGACAGCGACACAAGAGGCTGGACACACAATGCATGGGGCCCTCGATCGGCTGCCACCTTTCGTGGACGAGGCCATACGCTCAACGACGCCCCTGAACAGGTCGACGAGGAAGATACATATGTTCACGCCCCACCTGAGAACAGCTTGATGAACGACATCAATGCCTTTGGAGAGCTTGAAGATGCCGAGATGAGATTCAGATACGGTCAAGGACGTACAATCAACGATCTCGAACCGCAAGAGAGCAATAGTCAAGATGTGACCTCGCACGATGCTGGAGTCATCCCTGCCGATGTCCTCGGCGCAGCCAGACTCAGCCGACCCTCGGGC